GCTCACTTTCAAAAACTTCATCATCATTGAGAATGACCTTTTCACCTAAGCGCCCCAATCAGGGTCAAGGGTATGATGCGACTTTCGCAACGTGGGCTCGTAAAGGGGGACCTAAGTTGGGGGATAAGAGGGGGAGTTTTTGGATAAAACGCAAGCTTAGAAGGAAATCGAAATGAATGACTCTTACATGTTCTTTACAACAAATGCATAGAATGCTGAGTACTAATGGTATGCAACGGAGAACGGTCAGCGTCTTTGTTTTGTAGGGTTTGCAAACCTAGAGACTCGTTTATTTTTTTGCTGAAAGTGATTAAGCTAATTTTTTTCCACTTAGGCTGCTTTTTCTCCCTGCAGAAATGGTGTCGTGAACGGCGATCGAACTTTTCAAAACCATAAAGAATGTCCTTAGTACACACTAAACAGTTATGCCAAGCACTTTACCTATAATCAAAAAATATTAGGTTGTCCCGAAAATTTTGTCGGTTTTTTCAAACCACTATAAAACCGCGCACACTAAACACCTGAATGAGCTTCAACATGCACTCGATGCAGCTTTTTCTTCTCTTTCTTAAGGATACATTCTCGATGCACAATCTTGTATGCTTTTTTCGATATTTGTTGAAATTCTCCATCAAATGTCAATTTCATCTGCTCAAAGTTCGGCTAATTTTTAAAAATTTCATTCTGAGGTTTTTGAAACGTTCAAGTATGATTCTAATAGAGCAATTCTTGGACTACAAGAATATATTTTTAGATTCTCCGAATCTGCTGTTGTTAGCTTGAAAAAAATATTTCTTAAGAGGTCTCGATTTTTGGCAAAGTCATGAAACACTCAACTGCAGCAAATACACGGAAGTCTTCAAAATTTCTGCGAATTGAAAAATGATTCTTATTAAACATTATTTATGCAACATAACCAAGTCTGATTTGCCTTGAAAAAGCAGCTTTTTGAAATTTTCGGTACTTTTACGTGGTAAACGTAATCAAAAAGTCGCGGTTTTTATTAAATAATATTAATTATAACGGACTTGGTAAACGTGGCCCATGCAATATAAAATAAACAGAATGTAGCCAAAGGTTTGCTCTACATAACAGTTACCAGCGCTCCTTGAAATCATCAGGATAAAAATTTTTCAAAATTCATGAAAGACTTGGCGTTACTACTAAGCTGCTCGGAAATCCATGGCGATAACATTGGAAAGACAAGGTAGATCAGAAAGCAAGTACAGCTGTAAGAAAGAGTATAAAAATCTGAACCAAATTGTACCTAGCTTGCTCGTGGATTGATGTTCTGTGAGTTTCAGTGATCGAAGAAAAAAACCGGCAAAACTTTCGGGACAACCTAATATATCATCTATCTTATATATAAAGCTGAATGTCTGTTTGTATGTATGTCTGTCTGTCTATCTGTCTGTCTGTATGTATGTCTGTACGTATGTTCCGAATAGAAAATTCCATTTCTGAACCGATCGGGACCAAACTTGGCACACATACACTTCGGGCCCCGGCGGGTGTCATAGGCTACTTTTCGTCATCGATCGATATCGATTTTATCGATTTTTATCGATTTTTTTGCTGAGTTCACCTACGGGGCTGGGAGTTGGTACAGGGGGGTAAGTGAGCATGGGGATTCCGAATACAATATTGGTTTTCAGGATTATCGATTACTTTTATCGATTTTATCGATTTTTTTGCAAAGTTTGAGCTACGGGGCTGGGAGTTCGTACAGGGGGATAATCGGGCATGGGGATTCCGAATACAATATTGGTTTTCGGGATTATCGATTACCTTTATCGATTTTATCGATTTTTTTTGCAAAGTTTGAGCTAGGGGGCTGAGAGTTGGCACAGGGGGGTAATCGAGCATGCTGATCACTCCCAAGGGGGGTGATCAGCATGCTCGATTACACCCATGTGCCAAATTCCAGTCCCCTAGCTCAAATTTTCAAAAAATCGATAAAATCGATAAAAGTAATGGACGATCTTGAAAACTAATATTGTATTCGTAATCTGCATGCTCGATTACCCCTGTGCAAACTCCCAGCCCCGCAGGTCAAACTTTACAAAAAAATCGATAAAATCGATAAAAGTAATGGACGATCTTGAAAACTAATATTGTATTCGTAATCTGCATGCTCGATTACCCCTGTGCCAGCTCCCAGCCCCGCAGGTCAAACTTTACAAAAAAATCGATAAAATCGATAAAAGTAATGGACAATCCTGAAAACTAATATTGTGTTCGTAATCAGCATGCTCGATTACCCCCCTGTGCAAAATCCCAGCCTCGCATGTCAAAATTTACAAAAAATCGATAAAATCATTAAAAGTAATCGATAATTCTGAAAACTAATATTGTATTCGGAATCCCCATGCTCACTTCCCCCCCTGTGCCAACTCCTAGCCCTGTAGGTGAACTCTGCAAAAAAAATCGATAAAAATCGGTAAAATCGACATCGATCGATAACGAAAAGTGGACTGTGACACCCGCCGGGGCCTGAAGTGTATGTGTGCCAAGTTTGGTCCGGATACGGCGGAGCCGGGTAAGCCAGCTAGTAAGTTGTATAAAGCGGCTAAAAATCACAAAAAATAGCACTTGTTTATCTTTCATAGCAAAACTTTTCGATGGCAACAAAATATCGAACCCTAGCTCGTACCAAGGCAGATATAAACGACCTCAAATGTTTGCTGTTTCCTAAGCTTTTAGGCGCAGAGATGAACGCGCATGTCTTAAAGCAGTGTCTGAGGTTCCGACACGGCTTAGTAGTTTGCCAAACGCCCAGTCATGTCAACTATGCAAAAATTCACACCGTTTGATTCGAATGATTTCCCCATCGTTTTGAAGCACAAAATTTTTGATGCATTACATTTGCTTTTCTTTTCTTCTCTTCATCCTCTCGTCATTCTCACTTAAGTTGAACCGAAAGCTTCGTGTGCTGTTTCAAAAATTTAGTAGATAAAGCAGCCCTGATAGACCCTGGTAGAGAATGGCTCTTGACCAGTTCTAATCGATACCTGCAGTAAAGGATTTGCTGTGAAGGGAAACACCTCCGGGAGTATTTGAAAAGCAGAAGCCCGGCACAAAATGTACAGAAAAATAGTACAAAGAAGGCGGACGCGTGATGCTTTGTAGCTGTCCACATTCATGCTGAAAAGCTTAATAGAAGTCCTACAAGGGATCGACTGCATCAAAATATCCACCTATTTGAGAATCAATTATACCGGTCATCTCTGCCAGAAAGGTACATGTTACCTTCACTGCGAGCCCCGCCTACTGCCGCGGGCAAAGCCCGGCCATCCCGAGGGCGCGCCGATAAGTACTCGATAAGCGCCGGACAGTGCCCGTGGATGATCCGATAAGCGCCCGAACAGTACCATTGAGTGGCTTAGCAAACACTTTGTAAATACGCGATATGCACCCGCGGGTGGCAAATGCAGCGCCCAAGCAGATTCTCGAATTCTCATATTTTTACGTCATCTAGGCTTTTTACGGTGCTGATTTCAAATATGGCACTCAAAAGCATGAATCTCAAAAAACCTTCTTTTGGGGCGATTTTGTAAAACCCGATCGAGTACTTTCAATGCTATCCTTGTCGAAAGAAAGCATTAATAGGTAGACTCTATGTATTTGATTGTGTTTGCCTTTGAAAACACGTCAAGGGCTGAGGAGATTTCGTTTATGGGGATTCGCCATACGAGGAAGTGGGCGTCGAGGCTCGGACGTCTGCCTAGACGCTGCCTTTGAGGGCCGCAATCTGCACAAATACAAAACGATATCTGTATTAGTTCTAGTCACCCGTGACTACACAACCAAGGACTCATTTGGGTCATCTGAGAAACTGTGATGACAGAGCGTGACTTTACTTAACTGCCAACTCAAGCGACAAACGTTGAGGGTAACCTCACCGCGGCTAACTTACGAAAGTAACGTTTTCTCGTAAAGCATGCAAGAACTGCGGCGTCAGCAAGTTCTCTCGGGACGTAGGCTAAAGGGCCGGGGGGCTCGAAAACTAAATTTGCAGGGCGTCCTGTAAGCCTGGACTCGCGGGCGTTTTTTGAGCCACGGGTGTTCCGATAGAACAGTTAGGGCCCGCGATCTTTCCCTCCCGATAACATTGAGCTACGGGTTGCCAAACAAATAAATTTAGAGCCGCGGATAATCAATCCAATAACCTAGTGTCGCGCACTGCCAGAGGGCAGTTTCAGGGGCCGCGGTGCTCGCAGTAATTGTCTGACCAAGTCACTGTTTTTCGTGGATAATGCAAGCGTGCAAAGATTCATAATGAATGTAGCCTAATGGTGCTACCAGCGTTCGCTGGGGACCATGCGGAGACCAAGGAAAATGAAAGGTTTTTTGTCAAACTGCAATGCTGTTGAACCTACAGGGCTTATCAAACGCAGTGTCGCTTGCATCAGCATCTCCAATCCCGCGCTGGACTTCGCATCTCTTCCGCGAACATGCTCTTTGATCACTTTCCCATAGCGAGCGTGGGAAAGGCGGAGCCTCAATCGATTGGAAGTGATTAGAGAGCAGGTTCGAGGAAGAAACTCTGAGTCCAGCGCGGGAGTGGAGATGCAGATGCGAGCGACACTGCGTCTGATAAGCCCTGTATGATATATGGGACGCATTAGTCTGTCATCAATGACATCACAATAGTTGTTTGCCAGAGGCAAATTATCTCACATGCATGACATCTGCGTACTCACTCAAAAATGCCTTAAGTGTCGCTGTTTCTGCACGACACATCAAAGTTTTGAAGTCATTAAACGTGTTGGTAGCGGATTTTTTCCAGCAATAGTTGAACTTTGTTGTTTGATGAAAAAAATTTTTCATTATAGCAATCTGGTGAGTCGGACTGTAGTATCAAACATATAGGCGAATCCAAGCAAGATATAATACGAAAATTATAAAGCAAAGTTTGCAGAAGACACAAAGAATAGGCTCATAGATGCAGTGCAAGTAAACATCAACATCAACCAATCGAATAGTGTACCACTACATTGCTCACATCTGTGGCTTCAGAAAAAAATATCGCATAGAATCTTGTTGACACTGTTCTCGTAAAATCTTTTAGCACTCGCAGTTACTCGTCATCTTCTACATCTACGCTCTTTTTCTTCTTCTTCTCGCTTTCTTTCATCATTGCAAACGGACCGCTTTGGGAAGATGCAGATGTTATACTTGCTGAAAAAAGAAAAGATCAAGTGCTTTTTACTTTTGTTGACACCTTGAGTAGTTTTCGGAAAAATTAGCATTTCCCAATTTATAGTAAAACATTGTTTTTGGCAAGAAGAGCATTGGAAGGTGGATGACGTTGGAAGCATTTCCTTGCTTATTTATCTCACTGATGATATCATGCTTCACAATCGATACTTTTCAAGTGGAAGATAAAAACCATATTCCTTTTATATAAATCAACGTTTTAACGTGTTAACGTTTCTTTGCAAAGAGTTCTTTTTCTAAAAACAAAAGATTAAATTTTGCCTGCTTTGTCTGTTCGTATGCAATTTCTACCCTCAAAACCACAGCTAAGAACAAAAGTGCAGGAAAGTAAATTTTTGAGACGTTTTTACACCTATGTAAAACATTTATCAGAAGTCGCTCTGATGAACATATGCCACATGCCTACGTGTTTACAGCAAAGCAGCACTATCTATAAAATGTCAATTACTCTATTTTTGTAAAACCTGCGCAATTCTGATGAAATCTGCGCAATTCTGATGCCTATGGCGACCGGAGTACAGGGTTTATTAATTCAGTGTCGGGTGCACCACCGTCTCCACTACCGCGTGGGACTCTGCACCTCTTCTGCGAGCATGCTCTTCAATCATATACAGTCGATTGAGGCTCCGCCTTTCCCACGTTTGTGGTGGGAAAGTGATCAAAGAGCATGTTTGAAAGAGGTGCAGAGTAAAGCAAAGCGATTGCGCGGGATCGGAGATGTTGATGCCCCCGACACTGCTGTTTTCAAGTCCTGCATGATAAAGCGGATCTCTATCTACATTGGCTTGAATAAAAAAGGATGATAAGGTTGATAATTTCAGGCTTTTTCAAAGGCAGCGTCCCGGCAGATTTTGCATTTCCATCTTTTTGCATGTTTTGGGCCTTCTCGACCCATAGATCACGAATCTGAGCTTTAAAAGGGGTGAAAAGGCCTTTTTCGGGGCGTTTTTTTCATTCCCAAAAGGCAACTCGGACGAGAATTTGCAAAGGAAAGTCGGGAGGCCCTAGCACAAAGACCCTGCTGCTTGTAATTTTGGCTTTGTATAGCATGCACAATGCGGGAAAACCGTTGGGAGGTCCCGCGCCGTCTAGCGGAGAATACTCGTCCGAACAAGGTGTTAGGGGAGCGAAAGGAGGAAGGGGAACTGCGCTTGGGCCGCCCCCTGGCTTGCACAATTCACATTTTCGGCGCGGAATTGCTGTTTTGGTTCACTTGGAGGGCTTCCTATCCATCTGTGTCAAAATCTGAGGTAGGTCAAATCTGCCGAGCCGCTGCCTTTAACCTGGTTTAAAATCTGCAGCAGGGCACAGTGTTTAAGTGTGAATATGTCCTTCAAATGTTGCAAAAAGACTGTCAGAGAAATATTTTATTGAAAGGGCAGCGAAGATAAATAGCATAAGCACTTTAAACTTACTTTTACTCCCCAATTTGACCGGTTTCGGATGTGGATTTGCTGGCTGAGCATAAGTTTCTTGGGAACGTCGGTGCATGGTGCTGTCTTTGGAAATTTCCACTGAACATAATGTAATTTTGGCATGAAAAGTCTAGCATATTAGACAAACCTATGTTGCACATCACGTTGGCTGCTTCAAACAACCCGAAGCTCTGAATAATGTATATATCGTTCGTCTTCTCCACTTAGTAAGATATAAATTTCTTCAACTTACTACAGTTTCTCCAGGTTGTTGTTTCTCTAGACTGTTGCTGCGATTATCCGAAAGATGCTTTTCCTTTTTAACTACAGATAAAGTAGCTTGTGTCTTGCTTTTGCCTTTTGATAGCGCCTTTACTTTCTGGAATTACATTGAAGAACAAGGACCTTTCTGACCAGACTAGCTGAGAAATGAAACTCACGTCATTTGGAACTCCCGGTGCATATTCTAAATGACTAGTATCAGTATTTCAATACGCTCTGTAATATCACCCACTTTCTACTTTCCTGTCCTTGTCCTTCGTAGTCATCGCTGAAACTTCGTCGCTAAGCTTGTCCTCAAGATTATCGAACTTAAGGTCTTTTTCGTCTCTTGACTTTTTCTAAAGAGAAAATCACACTTACTCATCAAACATTATCAATGATCCTAAACAGAATGAGTGTGTTTTTTACAAGAATTGCATAATCTTAAAGTTTTAGAAAGTGTTCTTCCACTCCTTCCACTCACAGCTCATTGAGCATTGTACGGTTACATGGAACAAATATGAGTTTATTTTGCAATTGCTTTAGCAAAAAATACAGGTCTATTTTTTTAAAGAAAGATTCTAATTGAAATTTCCACGTTTGTAGTTGTAGACCAAGCAGTGAAATGCTTGGACGATACATCCTTTTTTCAACAGCTGTTTCTGATAATTCAGTTTCTTTCTTACACTATAAACATATTTCTAAGAGACGCTTAAAGATGGCTTTCCGCATAATGAGATGACCATTGACAAAAGCCCGCATTAGTGTTAGTTTAGTTAGTGGAAAACCAGGCATTTTACAGTAGCGAGTCAATTTAAGCGCGGAAAAATCCTCTATTTTTCATCTCCCTAAAGATTTTTTTGGTTCCTGATATTTCTTGATTTTTATGTCTAAAGCAGAACATGGTAGTCTTACCAAAATCGAAAGAAAGGAATATTATGTTAGAAGGTTGCAGTGACACAATCCTGGCACAAATTGTCGCAAATAGCGTTTTTGATCCTTGCCGCATGATCGAGAAGGAGGAATGGTTGTATGAATTTCGGTGATAATCACGCCTCAAAGCAGTACTCCAAATCAAGTGCGTTTATCACAAAATCTCGACGAAAACTCCAGAAAGAATTCTGGACAACAAACTTCTTCATCTATTTTCACAAATCCTACTTACAAGGGAACCGTGTCGAGTCGAAGTGGCCTTTCTAGATGAGACCCATACTGCTTTGAAGAGTATTAAGCGGTGATTCCAAATCTGCTTTTCAAATCTGCCAAGCGCCTTTGGACGCCGAGTTATGACCGTTCTTCGGAACGAAAAATGAATGCAGAATTTAGGTAAAATTGATAGTTACAATCTTTCCAGCGCTCAGATAAAGCAATGTTAAGTATTAGCACATTAAATAGAATGTATTCATTGCATAAATAGCTCTGATACTTGACACTGGACCATTTGAGCAAGTTTGGGCGATTTTGCTTCAGTTTTGTGTTCAAATTTTTGACCTGAAAAACGAGCATAACTCGGCGTCCAGAGGCGCTTGGCAGATTTGGAAAGCAGATTTGGAATCACCGATTAATGCTCTTTAAAGCAGTATGGGTCTCATCTGGAAAGGCCACTTCGACTCGACACGGTTCCCTTGTTAGTTTATCGTGGCGCCGCACTGTATCAGCCCACCACTAATCTCTCACTTCCAAAGCAGCGTTTTGAACAAGAACAAGCTGGATGTCGTTCTTACGATAATAGGGGTGAAGCCTTGTAAAAACGACATCAGCTTGTCCCTGTGCCTAACCCTGCTTTTGGAGCAAGAGAAGTTAGTGGTAAGCTAATAGCTAATAGTGTTGGCGCTATGTTAGAATCGAATGTTACATCAAAATCATCCTTTAGACATTTTCACCGGCTTGGTTGAAGGCAGCGTTCAGGCAATCGTCCCAGATTTTGATATGGTTCAACAGGTCTCCCTCCCCTTCAACTAGAGCAAATCATCAGGTCCGCTTAGAAAATGCGACTTCTAAAGCCTCAAAAACGGCCGCTTCCCTAACTTCTTCTGCTCCCTATGAATGCTTATAGATTCTGCGCATCATTTTCACGCTGGATCTGCAAGGCATATCCCTCTGTGATATAAGCGAAATGTGACAGTAAATTTACCATGCACATACGCTGAGCCAGCTGGCTCTGCTGACTTAACATACGCTGAGCCAGCTGGCTCTGCTGACTTATGACTGAGAAGTCTGTGAAAACTCAGGTACTGAAAGCCATAGCAAACCTTTTATTATCAAATTAGCTGGAAGCGTTTCTGCTGCCAGCTAAGGCGGAGCTGACTTGCTAACATAATTTTTTCTTGTAGATCATCGCATTGAAAGTTTTCGTACTAGCACAAATTTTCGCACTTCTTCTCCACGCTGTTTTATAGACTTTAGACAAAATCGTCGGGCTTCGTGAAACTTTGCGGGGTCAAATAATGACTTCGATGCCGTGGCGAGTCCTGTTTTAAAACAGCCGGATTGCTTACCGCTAGGTCTTCTATCACATTTGAAGATTTTGCCTACTGCTTTTCTTCTAAGGACTATGTGTGTAATTAAGCGGAATTCCTTGTGCTCATTCGTTTTGTTCCAGAACGAGCGTCTTTGATTTTTCATCCAAATGGAATTCAGAAAAGGAGAGACATGCGTGCATTGCCAGGATACCATTTTTTCAATCGCAGTCACAATATGTGAGGCATTCTACCTAATGGAGTGAAATTGAAAGGTATTAGGTTGTAAAGAGTTCTACCAATAGCGTTGAGCTAAATTATTTTATTTATATCTCCATCATGAGTGGCTGCCATTCAGCGATATTTTGGTCATGTGTACTGATAACCTTAGACTAGAGTGATTAGGTACGTCATGGAGCAGCGCGCTGGCTGCTTTTTGAAACAGGTGGCGAGTACGATTTTTTTGACCCTTGAATTCAATGAGTTAGTTATAGCTTGCAAAAAGGCCAGGTACCGGTACAATGGATAGTCGGATAGCGCTTCATCTAGCCAATATATACAGGATATGAAACGGATTTTCAAATCAAGCCTTTGGGAGTTCTGCTTTTGGCAACTATGAAAAAAAATTGGCAGAACTTTTTTACAACCTAACTTTATTATAAAATATGCAATTTCTACTACAATCTCTTTCAGAACAACATATATTAGGTTGGTGCAAAAGGAATGGCCGATTTGTGAATTCTCAATTTGATGTGCTATAACTTTCTAAAGAATCCACATTTCTGAATACGGCAAAGACCTCAGAAGCAGCAAATCTTTCGCAATAAGCGCGTACTTATTTATACTCAAACCATAAAAGCGAAGAGAAATACGGACTAAAAGACAAAGGAGGTTCTTCTGCTAGAACCTTGTTTTTGACAATTCATAACTTCCTTCAAAGTTTTTTAGTATATATGATAAGTGGCCTATCTTGTAGCCACAAGCCAGTAGTACAAAATGCAATAAAAAGAATTCGGACAAAAAAGTTTGCGAAAAAGAGAAAAATTGAAATTTAAATTTTCTCAGTTTTTTCAACATTTTTTCATTGTGCCTCAAAGTCCGGAATATAGAATTTTCTGATTTTCTACGTACTGAACAGCTGGATGTTTTTGCAAAAACTGTTAATAAGTGTCCTAGCCCTACGCTTACAGAATTGAGCAAAGCTTCGGCGACTGACTTCCTCAGAAGAAAATTATGGGTCATAAAATGACCGCAACAGCTACTCATGTTTGGGCGCCGATATCTCAGTCTGGATAGCTTCAAAGAATGCAGTTAAGTACATAAAATGTAGACAATTTCTATTATATACAAGAGCTAAATTTTCGAAGAAATCCCATGATACGCGCTTAAATTCTGGCCGGAAAGGTGAATGCAATGAAATTCTGAATTTGGATGCGGTTATTTGAAGCTCAGTAACTTTACAAGAAATGATGATGAGAGCCCGCTTCAAGCAACGTTAGATAGAGCATGAAAACGTCATCGCGATGGTGTACTACATCTTTTGTAAAGAAGAAGATGATGGGGAAAAGTTGCCCTGAAAAAAGGCTTGGAAAATCGGTCATTCCTTTTGCACCAACCTAATAGTTCCGAAAGAGATTGTGATCTTGCGTCAAGATACACGAGCAAAACCTTTATGATTACATTTGACTCGATCATTTATCAAAGGATAGATGTGCAAAGATGGGGCGTCTAGTTAACTTTGGGTCCACTACGGCTGATAGTCAAGGTCAATTTTCTAGTTCCTAGACTTCAGAGGTATCTTACTGGTTTATTAACCAACTCCTGGAAATTTAAGAAAAAGAGAGTAAGGTCAAATCAGAAGCAAAAGTGAGAGGGCAAAAACGTTAACTAAACTGAAGAGTTGTCTCGATTACAGGTCGACTTTCGATCTCATTTGCAGGCAGCTGCAGCACCCCCGCAACTAGTTAGTGCAACTAGTGCAATCATTATTTCGAATACTTAATAAGACGCAATCTTCTTTTAGCAAATTTTTTTGGGCAGTAAATATCGATGTCATAAACTTTTGGCGTCTTAGAAAGGTGGTGAAATCATGATACGGCAGCCGCAGTCATTGGCCCGTAGTAAAACTAATTCAGTTCAGGTGAACTGAACCGAGGCCCTCATCCAAGATTCGGTAAGGTAGACTGCCTATCACCAGCTTCGCATGTTGTAAGAATGCTAAATGAGATTTCAGCTGACCGTCCGTCTACCTGACGAGGTAGTCTACCTTACTTCAGTCAGTTCACATTCAGTTAGACTACCTATTGATTTGAATAGTGTGTTAATGGTGACACGCAGAGAAAATTCTCATAAGTTACTCTTGAGTAACTTACAACACACGTCAGTTTAACATGTCGAAGTGAAGCCACAGTGCAAGCTGGCAATACTCAACAAGTTTCAACAAGTGCGGCCATATCTCCGCCGCTAGCTCCAGTCACAAAGACGTGGATGTTTGGCGAACGCATTTTGACTTGTATACTTGCATGGACGTGGCGCTCTCAATCTTATCATCGTGGGTGGTTGGCAATATCAATCAATGGCTTGACTGGAGGCAAGCTGG